ATGTTGTGAGCAGCCACTAATCACAAAGTACTCAAGTAATTTCACAGCAATTAACCATCAAGAAAAAAACAGGTAGTTTGGCATCCTCACTCTGGACAAGTTTGTTACATCACCTGGCTGTGCTTATGCAGTTCACATAATGCTGAAATTATTAAACAGTGTTCTGCCATATTAAATAAAGCCACTCACAGCAAAATGTCAGCTAATGCACTTGTGGTCACATTCATATGATTGGCCTGTAGTGGTAAAACCTTCAATGATAAAAAAACAAAAACAAAAAACAAACATGCAATCTGCAGAACTGTCAGTATCCTTAGATGTTGTAAGCAACTGTATTAACACTTTTCTCATTAGCAAATATGACACCAAATCTCAAAATAAAGATATAATGTTTTATCTGTGCCAACAAAGGTTTTTCCTCAATCAAGGAAGAGTAACTCCGAGCACAAAATGTTAACTAAATTGACCTTCACTGTAAGTCTACACCAGCAGCTAAAAATAAACTCAGGTCAGAAACTGGTTCACAGCACTGACATGTTCTATATGGCAGACAGAATTCTCTAAAGGATTTACGTTAAGGTAGAAACTACACCATGAAGATTATTCTCCACACTCAGTCTGAATAATACAGACTGATGATTCATAACTTTATCTTTGACTTGCTGTGATATGATTGACATAAAGGTTTCTTTGAACACATGAAAAACATGGGGTATTTAACACAAATCACTAGTCAAAACACATTTCCTACTGGCACAAACAGAGTCCTAAATGTGGTAAATTACCTCCAATATCTCTCTAAGGCAGGTAGTTTTGTGTGGAACATATGTTCGTGTGCACAGGCAGCATGGTAAATCTGAGTTACTTAAAGAACACGAATCAGTCAATATACTGCGAGAGCCAGCGGAAACCTTCTCCATATCCTTGTCTCTTCAGCACGCTACACATGAAAACCTCCATTGGCCTCAAATTCAGCTCCTTCAGCGACACTTTGCCCTGCAAAGAAACAAAAACACGCATCCAAAAGCACATTTGAATTCACAACCCCAAACATTTCAACATCCTTTACTATGGACATTGAACATGTACGATTAGTATCTTAAACCTGTAACTTTTCTGCATGTTGAACAACAGAGGGTGGGCTTAGTGTGATATATGTAGAGCTGTAATCTGACCTTCCAAATAGCTTACTATTCCATCCTGCTTCCTTTCACTCTCTTTTTTTGTCTCTTCCTGTTTTCTTCTTTTTGGCCAAGAAACAGCAGGTAGTTAACAAGATTTACACTAACAATGAAAAATTTGCATGAGACATGTGATGTGCCAAATGCTACTCAACAGCATATTGCCCCCTACTGCCACTGTATTTAAGAGCCATGCTGTTCTAAGCACAGTTGTGCAGTTGCCCTTGGGAAGTCTGATTTGTATTAAAAAGTCAAGCAACCCAAAGTCAAACTCAAAGCATTAGTGGATGCAATAACCTGCAATAAATTCCTTCTGTACTGAAAGGTAGGTAGGTCTGGCCTAATAATGTACAAATAATTAAAAATGATAATCTTTAACTTCTAAATACATCCTTTTAATTCCACGTGTTCATTACCTTTCCAGTTGTTAGTCCATGAAGACCAAACATTCCTCTGAGGCCGTCCTCACTGATGGCCTCTGGGCGGTCTATCTTGTTCCCCAGAATGAGAACTGGGACATTTGAGATGGTTTCATCTGTTAACAGGGCCTGCAGACAGGAAAAGAGACTATTCTTATCAGTGAAAGCTATAACCAACTGTGTTGTGTGTCTACATATAAGTGAAATCAATATAATTAACTTACATCCAGTTCAATTTTAGCCTCTGCTAGTCGCTCATGATCAGCGCAATCCACCAGGTAGACTATACCATTTATGGCTGGGAGGTAGTTCTTCCAGATCCTTCGTGCTGTGAGAGCAACACAATTTTAATATATATGAAACACACATGTGGTAGCTGCCAGTGCACCAAGCAGCATTTTCCTTATTCCCACCTTGTACGTGACCCCCGAGGTCAAACGTCGTAAAGGTCATTCCAGCTATGGTCAACTCCTCAGATGCTGAGGACAGAGGGGAAGCATTGATTTTAGATAAGTGATAATGCAAGAAACACAAGGCTGACTGCTGAACTGACAACATGTCAAACTGCCGGATGTACTTGGATGTAGCGTCGGCACGTGCTGTCCCAGCCTGTCATCTCTCAGCATGTGCAGGAGTGTTGTTTTTCCAGAATTGTCAAGTCCAAGGAACACTAGCTTGCCAGTCTTCTTGTACAACCCTGATCATAAAAAGCAAACAGATGGATTTGAATTTAATATAAACTCACTATAAACTTCTTGTACAATGTTTTCTATCTCAGGTCCTGAAGATGATGATTAGCAAGAGGAAGGGGAGTTTTGTCATATTCAGGAATGCCATTCAAGAAAATCTGTACAACTCTGAGTATTTGGGCTGGAATTGGTGAAAGGAACAGTAATTCAGACTGAAAAAACTTTTTATCATTTCAAGGAAGTGCTGCTCTGATATAATAGAATAATAAATAATGATACACTTTTGCATGAAACTCTGGGAAGTTTAATTTCTGGCAATACCTTATTCATGCATACAGTGGGTATGTTTCATGAGCTACAGCCATTTTAATTTGTGTTTGTCATTTTAGGCATTTTTAGGCATTTTTAGGAATTGGTAGTCAAAAAGCACAATGCCGTTATGACGATTTGAGAATTGATGTCTTGTTATCTAAAATAGCAATTCATTTTGTATAGAAACGTTGTGGTGGTTAAGGTTGGACACTATTGTTGATAGTTATGTAGAAAACGTTACCTAGTAGTTGTAAGACACTGCTGAAGCTCCTGTAGATCCAGTCAAATATAAAAGACATTTCTCTTCACTGCCTGTAATACAGAAAATATAACAAGAGCACAACAAAGTACTCAAATAAAGTATCTCTCAATGAATAGCTTAAGTTCAAATTGCTGTCAAGCCCCCTCTCCCATCATAGGCAGACATGAGTAAATGAAACACATAACAACACAGCATATATTGGCAAATAAAGACAAATAAGTTTAAAACTGAATGTACTATTGAAGGGCATGGTTGCATTACAGAATCTAGCACCGAAGCTCATTGCTAATCATTATTTCAGACCCTGGATTACTCTGCTGGTATGTGTAAGCTCTGTGTAATCACACAAGCTTTAACGTATGAAAGGAAAGGAGGGCAAACTAAGCAACAAATAGGCTTTAAATGATTTTTAGATGTTATTTTTTTTTCTGAGAGTTGTCTCACTAAGCCACACTGATCTTCCTCTGACTATTTATATGACACTTTGTGGCAAGGACACTTGATCTCAGCAGGCACCCCCTGCTTCCCTCTCTCTCTCTCACACACACACATACACACACATAAACACACACCTGTTCCTCTCTGTGGGACTTGATGTGCTGGTTGCAATGATTAGTGAGGCCTTCAATGACTAAGGCTTCTCGAAATTACCCAATTGTTGATTACATACAATATTTCTGCTGGTCAGTGGTGAACACCAAACACATTTTATAAAGTATAGCATTTAATTCCTAAATCTATGGATTAAATAATAGAACACAGCAGGCCATGTGTTTCGAGTTAACCCACAAAAATATCATGGCAGCAGCAGGTTTTCATGCAAATCTCAAAACGCTATTCCAAAACAAATGCACACGAATAACACTATAAAACACGACATGCCACTAAACTCATGACTGAGCTCCTCGCAAACGATTGTTCCAGTGATTTCACGATTGCTGCCACAGTTCGGCTCATATGTACAGTATAACGACATCAGCTGTCATAGAGTAAACAACGATACATTTAGTAAACAACATGAGCGCGCAGAGGTCCGGAATGACAAAATAAACTAAATCGGTAACTTTATCATGTCTGGAAAGCAGTTCAACAAACAGAATTAAACAGAACAGGAATTAAATGGGCATGTGGAAACTGGAACAAAGTAAACTTAATATATAATTTGGGGTATTACCTTGGTCTGACAAATATATGAACTGCCCGTCCGTCGGTTTATCGTCCAAGCCTGTCCCGTCCCGCGTCTGACGTGAGGCACACAAGTTTGACAGTTAACCGGAAATACGTCACTACGATTGCTAATAAAAGCGGCAGAGGTACACTAACTTTTTTATCATCAAAAAAACAAACTATACTATAATCAGGCAGTTGTTGTCTGGGGAGATTGTATGTTTCCCTCAATATTAACACATACTACAATTTCTAGTTATGAGTGAAAATGAATCGTTCAAGAAAAGTATTATTTTTCTCTACAGTATGTAACATAAGCACAGCGTACAGCCCTGTTAAACACGTCATAATGTATTTTGAATGTAAGGACCCGTTTGGTAGATTTTATGTCGATTTACCTATGTGTACTATTTCCCTTTTAAACTTCACTTTTGCTACAAACTCTTAAACACAAGAGTACCTACACAATTAAATTTAAAATTACAATTAATGTTTTTCAGTTTTTTCTTTATCCTTCTTATTTTTTGTGTATATATCTACACTTTCACATTTTTAGTGTTTTCCACTATTGTTATGACAAAGAAAAAAAAGGAGGCTCACAGGCCTGATAGTAAATTTATGACATCAACATTTAAGCCAAAGGAATGACCTCAAGCACATCATCTTCATGTGACACAAACGTACAAAATGTATACACATTTAATTGCAAAAAAAAATGTTATGCAGGGTATTGAACATTAGGTGGGAGCGTTATAACAATATCGAGAACTTCAGCCCACAACAGTGCTTGCAAAGATGAAGCAACTCTCACACTAACTCTACTCATTAAACTTGTGAGTCATGGCAGCAACTGAGAAAGTGCTCTGCCCCTAATTTAGAACAAATTCCAGACAAGTGTTGTGCAGTTAGCTCATTTTCCAGCGCTTGTGGGAAGAAATTTTAAAATAAATAAATAAATATCACACATTGATGACCAGTTTACCCGAGAGGCTTTATTAAAGCAGATCAGAGTCTCATACAGGGCACAAGTATCTACAAGGAAAAGCACCCGTACTTTGTTCATGATAGCACATATCCAACGAGATCATTGTTAAAGAAGTGAAAATTCATTGTTCAAGACATGAGTACTTTCTATACAGTTTCTAACCAATGTCTTTCCATCTACAGGAAAAAAAGCAAACCCAGACCCAACCATCCATGTCCCATCCTGTCATCCCATTGGTTCCTAATGTAAAACCTTCTTCAAGTATCCTATGAGGGATGAGCCTTTCACTCTGCTCCAATTCAGCTCGTGGTTTACTTCTTCTCGTAGTAGAACCATTTATCTACTAAAAATGAAAAAACACATTCAATCTAACATCACATCAAGCTCAGCAGAAATTCAATAATCTGGACATTATTTACAGGAACATTTTTTGCTACGTTACCTGATAAGGGGATAGGTTCTTCTTTTCCACAAGGACATGTCTAAAAAAAAAAGAGTGTAACCTCAGTTATGAAATAATCATCATGAAGGAATGAGGCCTGGTGTTGAAATTTAAGATGTCCTCATGTTACAAAAAGGAATGAACTAAATCTTACTTCACCAACAGCAGCTTTGGCCTCATCCGCTGAGCAGCAGAAAGGGCTGTCACCGTCCGAGACACACGTGTTTTTGCTGTATTGCGTGATGAGACAGTCATTTATAGTCATAGTTTATATCAAGAAGCCATAAATGCATACACTTGTTCTAAAAGCGATTGTATTTAAGCTGTAATCAAAGCAGTAAGAACAGTGTTTACCAGTTCAGTTCACCAGCATTAGTATTTTGGGAAATGAGTGCTTTCCAGAAGTTGTGAGTGCTCTTAATTATTTTAATGGCAAAGTCCTGAAACACAAAAAAACAGTAAGTGCTTAACTGAAAGTACGTTTTTTACAATTAACTATGACGTCCAAGCAAAAAAGTCAGGTTTTCAATGCTTTGCACAAAGTCTGACAAGGGTATAAACTGCATTTCATTGAAAGCTTACTTTGTCATGGCAGAACAAGTTAACTGTTTGAAAAAAGTGCTGAAAATGAATTTCACACCATATGTCACATTAAAAATGATGTCTAAGCAATGGTAGGTGAAGACCTTGTCTTTGAACTCCTCGTTGAAAGCAAACCGGTTCTCTGGTTTCCCATCTGGCACTTTGTACCTCCTGAACCAGTCAACTGTGGCTTCCAGATAACCAGGTTTCAGGCGATGCACGTCACTGATGTCTAGGGACAACAAAAGTTCAGTGTGAATGATGCAATGATGACATTTCAATACTGCTTATTGGATCCTAACTTTCTGCATATTTAAGTCGCACTCCCAATTGTTGCACTTATCTGCCAGGATCTAGTAAGGGGACATAACATCATGTCATTTGTTACTCAATATGCCAACAATTCAAACCGTTTAGGTATGTAAAATGCATTATTGATATCTGCTTATTCACAGCAGTATCTATGGACTTTAGCCTTCTGTGACCTTCTCCTGAGTCATGGCACATCAGAAACAGCTGACAGAATAACTAACATTATAGTCTATAGTAAACTATGATAAGGCCTACCCCGTGGTGTAGCATAATAATGTGAGTGTACCGCAGAAGTCCCTTAAACCTGCATTCTATCGAATGTCCAGCAAGGGGCCACTCTTCTGGATGCAAAAAGAAGTCCAGTTCCATTAGAAATAATGGTAAAATAACCCTGCTTTATTATCCTAATGAGTTTATGGTGTCAATCGCCTGTTTCAAGTCTTCTTCAATACAGCATGATGTTCATTTAGTAAATTATGGTCCCATTTAGAGGAAAATAGACCATAAAGCAGAGTATACTTCAGGGCGGGAAAATCTGTGATTGACTAGTCGTTACCAGAGTGTCTCGTACCCACCGCACCGTGTAAATTTCACCAGCACAGTTGAAAAAGCACATTAGGAGTTTGCTGTTCACTTTCCCTGGTGAGTACATTTAGTTTTAAGACTGTTGTTCGCAGACAAAATTAACACCACGGTTAAAATGACAATGTTAACGTGAATTACAGATGCAACTAGCTAAGCAAGCTAACTAGCTCCACAAACGCCCGTTGGCTCCACCGTCTCATCCAAATATGGTCTCGTCCGGAGTCGCTGGTTGCAAAAAAAAAAATCAACATGGCGGTGCCCTATCGGCCAAACTCGAGGCTTCAAAACAGCGGTCCACAAACCAACGTCACGATGACTACGTCCACATATACAGTCTATGGGTACAGCATAGAAAAACAATAATAGAGGCTATTTTTGTTCTTGAAATATTTGGTGTTGTTTTTTCCTTCCAAAAAATATTAGAATCAAGATTCGATAAGTAGCATCAGAATCGATAAAATTAAAACAATACCCAACCATACTGATAACAGGCTCAGACAGAGAAAAACATCTTACTATTCAAGTCGTTGGCTTCGGAGTCCTCTACGTTGATTGCAATCACTTTCCAATCAGTCTCGCCCTCATCGATCATGGCCAGGATCCCGAGCACCTTCACTTTGATCACCTCCCCACGGGAACACACCTAGAGAGGGCATTTCAGTTTGCAGTTCATTCTCTGCAGTCCTCAGCAGTGTTGTCATTTTTCCATTAAATGAATGTACACAGCAAACAATTAAAACTGATGATCACTTAATGACACCGTTAAAGGTGAATATCAAGGCTGTAAAACGATAAGCCAGTGTTGTACCTTACTGCCGATTTCACAGACATCGATGGGGTCGTTGTCACCACAGCAGTCAGTGTCTCCATCTTTGTGTGCAGGATCTTCCCACGTCTGGAACGTCACAAAACAAAAGCACGCAGGCTGAATTAGGTAAAATCACTAAACATCTGCTGTTGCACATTTCCAAGGATTGGTCTCACACCAGAAGAGTTTGGAAATCTTTCCAACAAAAAAACTAACCTGGGGAATGGCTCCATAGTTCCATATGTAGCCCTTATGTGGGAAAACATTGGCAACATATCGCAACTTGCCCTTCTTCACATCTTGCTTTATTGGGTTCAAGAGGTCTTTTGTAGCAATCTGAAAATAAATTGTATTGCTGTTACTTTTAAAAGACGTCATTCGTGCTAAAAAATATAATATAATTCAAAATGTCATCTTAAATATTTACATTATTTACAATATACATAAGCTTGTCATTATTTATATTTAAATAATGACAAAGGTAACTCTAAATATGGGTCAGGAGTTATTATATGAGCCATGGGTTCATGAAAACCTGTTGGATGAACTGACAAATAAATTGTAGTCAAGCTGAAACCAAAGTTGCTAAACTCTGATTCAAGCTTTGACAGCGGAAGATTCTTTGAGCCTCGTACCTCCATCTTTGCATTTGTCCATCTCGGTACTTCCACAACCATGTGAAAGATGTTCTAAAAGAGACAAGAATCTGTCAGAATTATCTTTAAATATATTCTGAAACAGTAATCGACACAACTGTAGATGGCACAATTGGAACACACATAATGCACTACATGCTGGCTTTCACTATTGCTTTGGTTCCGCAAACAGAAAGTTGTTTCAGAAAAGATAATAGATAAAACACTGCAGTCACCAGAGATATTGACACTGCACTGAGAAAATAAAGACTAAAGGCCATTGCCTACGCAAATAGACTATGCCCTTGCTATTCTGTAGAGCACAGCTTTAAACAGATGTCTGTAATTGATATACGTAGTTAACTACAAAACTATACATTCACAGCAGCCCTGCAGGTGGCATTTAAACAGTTGTCTGATTTAAAGGATACACACATATTTAACGGGGCACGGTTGACCTTACCTGACCCTCATCAGCGAATATTGGTATGTCATGGAATGGTGAGATGTACTTTCCTTCAGTATTTTCTGTAACACAGTCAGATTTAACAATGTATGAATAACGCAGACAGATACAAGCTGCTTTTTAATCTGTCTTATGTCAACATCTGAGTGTCCTACATCATGTCCAGTGGACTGCCAACAGAGTGAACAGGTTTTCCTGTACTGCTTACTTACACTTCTGGCTAAAGGTGCGACAATAAGTTGGCTTTGTGATCTTTGACAAAAAAAAAGATTACTGTTGATGCATTTTTGTCTGCACAGCAAGAATGATGAGAAACAATATATTTCTCATGGCCTCTGGCCATTTATGGTTCAATGTCCAATTTAGGACAGCACACAAAATAGAGCAGGTCTGTGCAAGTTAAGCTTCCTGAATCACTTATCAACTTCTCCTAGCCACACAGGCCACTGCTTACAGTTACTTCTACCTAGTAGAGCACACATGCTTACTTTACACATATACTATTTATTGTGTAATGACCCTGGTTTGTAGACCACCAAAAGTCTTCATTTTGGTAACTTTACTGTATGTTGATCACATCTATTGTCAAATCAAATAGTGATGATTTAGACTAGTGACTTGAAATCTGAGACAAAAACTGAACCTAACAACAAAAAAGGAAATTATAAAAATGTTAAATTAGGATTATCTATAATCAGTCTGTGCAGTTTGTCCAACAGATTAATGGTCATGTCCGATCAATGGGTTTATTAAGGTGTAACAATCAGAGAGGGCGTTGTCCCACTGACTCCAAGCTTATGATTTTATGCTGGATGACGTGTTTGAGCACCTTGCGAGATTTCCCGAAAATAAACAACTTCCTTTCACAAAGTTCAGGCAAGAATAATTGTGTACGGTCAACGGTTTGACATAACAGAAACCAAATCATGTTGCTTGGGACCGGTGCTGACCTGTAAAACCGGCATAACGTTAACTGCATGACGCAAGTTTTACCCACTTCGATCCGAGCCATTATGACTACCCGAACAAGTGGAGACGTGCTTGTTAATTTCCAGTGCAAGAACAAATGTCAACACTATTACTAATATGAAGAAACAAACTATCAACAATAAATGAGGAGTGACACGTGGGAAGTCGCGGCTGGCCTGTGTGGGTTTGTGGATAGATTGTGGATAAATAATGACAAAACTGTTACGCTGCTCGGTTTCTACTTACTGAAGAACAAGCGGTAGCTCAGGGAGTTCGGGTTCCCCCTCTCCTCTACTGTGAAGCTCATGTTCACGTGCAGGTTTGTGTTGCCGATTGGTTCTTGGATGGAGGATGGCGGCGGAAGGAGCCGTCTTCGGTGAGTCGTGGGTCGTATAGAGCCACGGCACGGCGCATGCGCCCTTTCAGACTGATGCCTTTAAAGGGCTATCGGAAATATGACAGGACATCACAAACATGACGGCTTGCAAATGTTGTATTGTGTATGAAAAGACAACCGAAGACAAAGCCTATGGGTGAACAGCAACATCAGTGTTGTAATATGACACATGATGTCATCTGGTACTGCGGTTATCAGTGTTCAGTAAACATTGCTGGTTTTTTTGACAGTATTGCAGTTAATTGATACAATTTGATACTATATATTGATGACAACAAAGCATGCTATTTTTTGTATTAAGTAAAATAAAAAGATGGAGCCATGCGCGATCTGAACAATGCCTCAGCTCATGTGGCACTGTCAAACAGAATGGAGACATGTAACTTTACTGTCCTCAAACTTACAAGATTTGTGGAAACATAACTTACCTTAAGTCTTTATTTAGGCTATATACAGCCAGGGATATATATATATATATATAAATATATATATAAAACAAGGAAAGGTTCCTACAAATTTAAATTCTAAATCTTGTAAATTCTATCCTTATTGCTAATCTGGAAATGTTGTCAACTTGCTCAAGCAGCCATAGTCGTACTGGATTTTGTCTCTTTTTACCGGTAGAAGAAATTACGAGAAGCACTCGAATGCAGCATCCGACCAGACTTCAACGATTTTCCAGTTACAGTTATCATTAGTTAGTTTGGGAACCTCACAGACAGTATAAATATAGCCTTCATGAATATTTAATTTATTTAAATGTTCCTTTGATTTCCCTTCGATTAGTTTTTTTGCGAAGTTGTGATGTTATGAAATATGTGTGCTTCAGGTTCGGGTAAAGCCAGCACACCGATGCTGAATGTACCAGCGTGAAGACATGAAAACACGAAAATAAACTACAGATATATTTGTCAAAGTCTCAAAAGTAGGATGGCACCATTTGCTGATGCTCCGCACGGCTGACATCATATCCGCCCGCAGCCCGTCGTGCTTCCTGCCTTGCTGAGGGAGGGGACGGTGCTGACGGCTGGGAGGACGAAAGGAAAGACAAGAAAGCTTTCGGGAAGATATAAGAGAGTGGGGAACGGCCCGGGTTTCCACCGTCCGTCGGGAAATAAACATCCCAGTTTTCTGTAGCTGCTGGATTTGTCACCGAATTGGCGCTGAAAATGTCGACCAGTCGTCAGCTTAGCGAGAGCAGGGCCATCCCGACCAGGACGGTGTTGATCAACGACACAACGCAGCTACCTCATGACTATTGCACCACCCCTGGAGGCACTTTATTCTCTACCACTCCCGGGGGTAAGGGGATAGCCCGTATGCTTTATCGTATTCTTTAAGAAAATGGAGGATAATTGGCGGTGTTTGTGCTCTCAGCAAACCTCTACCTGTTCATGTCACCGTGGCCTAGGCTGCTTTCTCATCCTGATCAAAACAAAAACAAAGCTTAGCCCCGCCCCTGTGCTCTCGGGCTGCTGACCCGAACGGCTGGATTGCAGCGCAGATATTGTGGTGAATGCATCGTCGTTATACCCAATACCGTTATTATATTTAAAGAAGGTGAACATGTTTTGTTTGCCACCTATGGCACACAGGAATGTGATAACCAGTAGTTTGAAGCAAAAAACACTACATACGTTATATATCATGAGCATGGCCATACTACATTAGGCCTATATATAACCAGATGAAAAAAATATATGGTGAAACTAGAGCATATGGTGAAACTAGAGCAGAACAGCCTTTTTTAACAGCAGACACCTGTATAACCCAGGTGTGTTACTGATAAAATGAACTGATGCATTGTGTTGCAGAAATTCCTATAACAGAGCCATCATTACTATTATTAGCTCCACCGTTTTTTTTGTCAAAATCTCAGTGAATCTGATTTATGTGGGAACGATAAATAAACCAGAGTGTCCTGATTGTAACTTGATATGTGTTTCCTGTTGCAGGAACCCGGATCATCTATGACCGTAAGTTCCTCCTGGATAGGCGCAATTCTCCCATTGCCCAGACTCCCCCAGCTCACCTGCCCATCATCCCTGGAGTGACTAGCCTAAATGTCCTGAGTGAGAACCGGAAGAATGAAGCCAACAACCACATCAACAACCACGATGGCAAGCCCACAACCGGTAAGAGTTACAATATGGATTGAGTAACCAGCTTACATAATAGGACGTGTTTTTTATTTGAATAGTTACTAATCCCCCTCAAACATGTGACAAACACACCCTCTGTCATGTAATAATTCAACTTAATAACCACCATGATTATTAAACTACCCAGCTTGTTCCAGACGCCTCTCAACACCTTGCTGTCTTTTTTTTTTGTTTTGTTTTCAAGGTGATGATTCTCAATTTGAAATGGACATCTAACAGACTGGAACCACACCAGCAAAAGCAAATGACCTGGCATCACACGTGCCAGTGGCTTGGCTTGTAGAAACCGATGTTGTGAGCCCTCATGGCAGCCATCTTCTTTAGCTCTCTGTCTCGCTGCTGGTTGTAATGTGTGTAAACCATGGGGATTCAGTATCTTATACATCTAGGTACAGTGTGGCCAACCCTGGAAACTAGGCTTATTTATATAGATTTCCATGGTGACCAGTCGCTGTACAAATCAAAAATCACAAGGGAGCGGGCCTGAATATTATGTTCCCAGACACATTGTCCAATTAGTAGATTGCAGTGCTCATCTTACAGCTTTCTGCGAGTCAGGATCCTTAACAGAGCACACTGTAAAACTGATAATATTCCAAGTTAATTGGGGGAGGAAGTGGTCATTTTTAGTACGGGCCTTAGAATCAGTCAAAAGCTTTGATATTCATCACAGTCTTTGGTTTTGAAGACCCTTGTAAGCACGTTTATTTAAGTAATTTTTTTTTCTTTTTGGTTTTTGGAACTACTTGAAAAGCCCCACAGTCTATTATCGGTTGTTAGTTTCCCGTGATGGTAAGTAAAGGGATGCTGTGGTTTTTGTTTTTTTTTTTCAATTGGGTGAAGATTTCATGCCATTCCAAGATTTTAGTTTCCAGTTTTAGTTATAAGCATGCACGAGTTTTCAATTTTCAGGGGAAAACATTTTTTTAATGAATTTTAGTCCGCGATTTCATTGTTTTTGTAATCAAATGATTGTATTTCCCACTATTATATAAATCTGAAAAATTGAAAAGAAGCTTTTTGTTTTAGAATAAATTTCAGTACAGAATTAACAATATCAAGCTACTCGATTCATCACTATCATTACCTTTGCCATAAATCCATTTATGCATTTCTCTCCTGCCAAGAGAGGTAATATCTCCAGATTTGATGGCTACTTTGGTTTGTTGTGTTGGCAGGAGCTCTCTCTTCATAATTTGATCCATCCTGACATCTGTCGGGTGTTTTTGAATATCCATACCGGATATACATTTAGATTAATGTGGAAGTGGTTAAGACCCCATTTGTAATTTTTGGGGTGAAATACAAGAAGATTTTTGAAAAACTTGAAAAAATCCAGATGTTTTATATGCATTTTATTTTTTAATACAGTTTCTTAGAATTGAGGGTATTGGTTTAAACACGGTCAAGCCTTTGGATTTGTTATAAGTGTCGAGGAAATAGAAGACATTGTTTGCATCAGGCTTGATGGATGCTAACCCCTTAATCTACAAATTTGTCCCCAGTGTCCTTACTCCACATTACACATTACCTTATTATTTCCATGTGTCATGTCTGCCCATGCCTTACTTGACATCAGATGCAGTAACTAAAACTAGGTTTTTTGTCACCAATTTGTACTTTCCAACAGATGTTTATTTTTTCACTGTAACACTGAACAGGTAACATTGTACTTAGAAATTAAGCCAAACAAATACTTGTTGAGAAAATGTGGGGGGTTTTCTACACAAGTTCCTTCCTCAAGCAGCTGTGAAGTTGGAAAGTGACTGTGTACATGTCATATTGGGATTCTGAAATTCAGATGCTGATGTGATTAAAAGAGTGCCACATGCTCACTTAGTTTTGTTTTGTTTTGTTTTGTTTTGTTTTGACCCCACAATCCTACTTCTGTCTGCTAGTTGTACTCTGTCCAAATAGCAGCTCCGAACTTGGCAAACAAATCACCATGAAGTTCCTGGTTTTCATTCATACCATAATATAATTTTTCTGTATGACTGGAACCACTGAATGGCTGAAAATTATGTCTATCAAAGATTAGATTTTTTTCTGTTTGGCTTTGTAATTAATTCTGGCCAGGTTTGGTGACAAACACATTGAGGGGTTGCTTGAAACCAATTTTCATTGCACATTTTTGCGATAAAACTCTACATTACAGCATCACAATTCAGATTTCTTTCAAATCAGTTTGGTTTGACAACGAGGGCTTAACATTGTGGGTTGAAGGAGATTTGAAACAAACTTACTGTAACTTTCTGTTCTGATTTTAAATAATCTTTATTTTAAATTAAATTCCAATGCCAGTGGACACTGTTGCTGCAAGATCAATAAAGTTCTGTAACAAAGAAAATAAGATGTGTTTTATTGTCTCTGTTTTGTGTAGTTGTTTTAGTTGCTTTTGACAGTGAGAAAAAAACTGATGGAAATCCTTTATCGTGACTTAGTAAGGGCAGATTAATGCATGTAAATTATTAAATGGATTTTATAGTATAGTTTAGGTGAGTATACATGGCCTACCCCTAAAGTAATATAAGCAGTGGTGGAAGTAAATTTACTCAAGTGCAGCACGTAATGTGTAAATTTGTACTTTTACTGGAGTATTTCCATTTTCTGCTACTTCTACTAAGCTATATTTATTTGATAACTTGAGTTGCTAGCTATATTATAAATTCCTATTTTTAAAACAAAATATAAATGTTTTTATATGATAATAAAAATGCTTCTGATATATCAATAAGACTTTATTGATTTCAGGGAAATTCACAAGTTACCCAGTTATATATGATTTAGGTACTTCATTCATCCATGAAGGGAAATTGCAGTAGTAGCAGTTTACATAAAATAAAATAAAATCACAGTTACAAAACATACTTGCACAAGTAAGTAGCTATGAGGTAGGTTCTTCTTTTTTTTCTTTTTTACAAATACTATATTCATTCAAACTACTATACATAAAGGCCTAAAGATATGTCTCTCCAACTATGTCTGTTCAAATGAGTGAAGAATGTGAATTGTCCATTGTCATTCAGATGAAATAAGTCTCCTCTCCCTGCCCAGAGGGGAGACATTGTTTGCAAAGGGCAGGAATTACTCCTTATTACTTCTGGCTGAAGAAACTGTTTTGTCTGACCAATAGTTCAGAGGATGAGAAGTGTTATCCATAATTCTGAGATGTTTGTGCAACATCCCTCTCTCCACAACTAACTGGAGAGGCTCCGGGGCAGTCCCTGGTACAGAGCCAGTGTTACACTTCCAGTCCAGTCTGTTGTCAAAGTGATCAGGTCTCCATGAAAGAGATAGTTCAAAGCTCAAAATCTTCACTTTGTATAATATGTAAAAACGAGACGTAGCGACAGTCAGTGGAAACCAAAATCACCAACCGATTGAGGGCTGTATTCAAAATCACACTGAAAATCTGACAAAAGCATATTAAATAACAGGCTGATCCAACTTGCGTGACTATCACTGCATCTGATAATATGACTCAGTAGTGTGTTTGGCCCCCACGTGCCTGTGTGCACTCTCACAATGTCTGGGTATGCTCAGACCTGGATCAGGGTAATGAGCTCCTGCACAGTCTGTGGCACTAGTAAACAGCGTCTAATGCGCTGATACATAACATCCCAGAGGTTCTCAATTGGATTCAGGTCTAGGGAACACAAAGGCATCGATGCCTTTGTGATTCAGGAATTGCCTACACACTCTGGCCACATGAGCCTGTGCCAGGAGAACCCAGGGCCCACTACACCAGCGTATGGTCTGACAGTGCCTTTAAGGATTTCATTCCGGTACCTAACAGCAGTCAGGGTACTGTTAGCTAGCACATGGAGGTCTGTGCGACCCTCCAAGGATATGCCTCTCCAGACCATGACTGACCCACAGCCAAACCCATCATGTTGGATGATGTTGTAGGCAGCATAATGTTCACCATGGCATCTCAAGACTCTTTCACATCTGTGTTCAGTGTGAACCTGCTCTCATCTGTGAAGAGAATGGGGGCCAGTTCTGGTGTCCTCTGGCAAATGCCAATTGAGCTGCACGGTGCCGGGGTGTGAGTACAGATCCCTCTGGAGGACTTTGGGCCCTCATCCCACTCTCATGGAGTCAGTTTCTGACAATTTGGACAGAAACGTACACACCAGTAACCCGCTTGAGGTCATTTTGTAGGGCTCTGGCAGTGCTCCACCTGTTCCTCCTGGCACAAAGGAGCAGATACCAGTCCTGCTGGTGGGTTGATGCCCTTCAACAGCCCAGTCCAGCTCTCTTCGTCCGTCTCCTGGTATCTCCTCCACACTCTTGAGACTGTGCCGGGAGACACAGCAAACCTTCTTGTGACAGCATGTATGGATGTGCCATTCTGGAGGAGCTGGACTACCTGTACAGCAAATTCTTTCATTTACACCAAAACAAGTGACACAGATTTACTATTGCTTATGCTTCCTAACTGGAAAGATTGATATCGTTTAATTGACATGATGGTTATACTGTGATGAAGATTAAGTGTTCCCTTATTTTATTTTTTTAAACAGTGGATAATACACTTCATATTACTCTAAACATCCTCTTCTTCGTGTGCACATCCAAGCCTGGTTTCTCAGCAGGGCAAAGTAGGCAACTGCCATTGGGCCCCAGACTCCAAGGGGACTTTAAACATCTCAGGTTCTATTTATAAAGTAATTTGATTAATTGCACATTTTAAGGGAATTTACACCACTAAAGTACCAAATCAACTGTTTTAAAACTAAATTTTGACTTTACATACTGTGTTCATGTGGTGCATATTACTAAATAAATGTGTGTATACTGTAATGAAACACAAAACTAACTGAAACACTGAAAACCAGGTAGTGTTAATCAAGTATTGCACTACTGGTTGGTTTTAAGAAATTAAGAAGCTGACATGTATAGTCTTCTGCACATGCAATGTAGGCTACATAATGGGAAGATGGAGGAAACAGGGTACGTACACAGTGTACAGAGGATGGTAGATGAGGGGTAGAGATGCAAGTCAGTGGGGGCTCATCTGCAAGTTTTGGCCCTCTGCCCTACCTACCAACAGGTGTATCTGGACATGTCTACGTCCAAAACACAATTATTGTGTGCCTTTTAATAACTTGAATGTGGTTCATTTATTTCATTATTATCATTAGCTTCCTTGATAATTACTCCTGTGATTCATCATGTCATCTGGCTGCCTCTGAATGGCCCAGCTAATATACAGACGTTGCATGACTGACGTCTAGTGGACTAAAAAGTACCCGCAGGTGGTGTTTTCCTAAATGTTTACCTGCAGTACTTTACAATTTACACATATAAACGCCCGGTCTGTGTTTTTACTTAAAAGTTCCAAAGCTTTATTAATCTGTGGAAAAAATGTTATGGGTTTTTTTTGGCAAAATAAAACATTAGGCTTTGCCCAAATACGCTAAGGTATAGGTCCGATTTATTTGTGATGCGTTTATATCATGTGCGAGATATATATTACATTTACTGACACAAAAACAAAAATATTTCGGAGAGTTCTCAAATGTTGTTCACGTTTTTACATCAGGCAAGACGATTACGTGCCCAGTCAATTTTCTGCAGGCATTAATCCGGTTGTCTGCTGGTCCTTCCTCCTTTTCTACGTCCCTGAGTGAGGCCGGCGTCAAGATGGTGAGTCTTGTGGCAAAAATTACAAATAAAATCCGTTGAACATCGAGGCCATCCGTCCATTGTCACACATTTCATGCCCGTTGAGTGTTCGTTTATATCTGGGTTATAGTAAAAGATCAATATCTATGTGTTACGAAACGATATAAGAGGAAATTCAACGGCACCATCCAAATGCTATCCTGGCTGATGTCTGTGCGGACGCTACAAGTCCCACACTGTATTTACCTGTTCTGGGTTGGCTTTTGTAGTTGCCACTCTATGTTTTCGTTAATTTGTATTCACTGCATAACCACTCTAACCTCACACCGCTGCCCAAATACACGCTATAATATTCAGACTGAAATTAGTAGTCAATATAGGAACGTGTAGTCCTAGCTCCCAGCGGCTAACGTTAGCATACACTACACTGATAGCCACAGCGAGGCCTTCATTTTAAGTGAACAAGCATGGGAAGTTACAGTCGTACTACCTGGCTTTCTGAACTGGCACAGTGGTGTTAAGAAAACAGGCTTTGTTGAGGCCCTGGGATCATCTAAAGTGTCCAGGTAAGCAGGCGATCTTAGCCAGTAAAGGAGCTGAGAAGCTAACTGATAATGTTGTGACTGAACGTAGTTGTACCTGGTGAAGTAAGCTGCATCACAATGCTGGAATCTCTGCATTTAGTGTTGAGACCTGGAGTATCAGACTAATTTAGTAGTTATTGAGAAGTTGGCTGGTAATCTGCATCTTTCCTCTCCAATTTTCAGAATGACACAGTAACAGTCAGGACCCGCAAGTTCATGACGAACCGGCTGCTTCAGAGGAAGCAAATGGTAAGGGTTCAAACCACGCTGCCATGTTCAACATGTTGGTCACTGTAAGCTGGATTTTCTGTTGTAGCCGACATGTACGTATTCACTGCCTGTCCTCTGTGTAGGTCGTTGATGTCCTGCATCCCGGCAAGGCCACAGTCCCCAAGACTGAAATCAGGGAGAAACTTGCCAAGATGTACAAGACCACCCCTGATGTTGTGTTCGTGTTCGGCTTCAGGACTCAGTTTGGTGGCGGCAAGACAACAGGCTTTGCCATGGTGTACGACTCCCTAGACTACGCTAAGAAGAATGAGCCCAAACACAGACTGGCCAGAGTACGTTTTGAACCATTTTATGTCTACGTGAATGCTTTTATTATTCAGTTTTATTCAAAGTTTTTTTTTTTTTTTTTTAAATGTGGTGTTTATTAGCAGAAGACATTCATTTTTGCCCATCTTCCAAATTCTGCAGCAGCAAGCACCTGAAATGTCTTATCTTCTGGACCTGTAATGCAGCGTTATGGGAAATTGATTGGAAGACCTCTGCTAATGTAGAGACTCTTAACTCCTCAGGGTTGTTGGCTACTGAGTGTACCACCTTGTGCATGTACATCATGTAAAGTAGTTTGCAGAAGGCTGCAGAGCAGCATCTGACGGTTAAAAAGGTTGGATGAAAGGTGCAATTGAAAGATGTGAAGGTATGAGAAGTTAAAACCATGAAATGCAAGTTAATTTACATCAGACATCACTGGTGGATAATGTGAGAACAGCTTATTCACCGTTTAATTAATCTTTGTTTAATGTTGACATGTGCACAGTTGAAGTTAAACTATTTTATTAAGCTCTAAAGCTGATCATTCCATAAACACATTTTAAAGCATGTCATTCAGTGCTTGACATGGAACCTTCTCAAGTCTCTCATTGTGACGCAATATAGATGAATTGTTGCAAATAATAAACAAGTGTGATCGCTGTGAAAGCATTAACATCAGCAGGTTATGATTGCTAATTATGGAGTATAACGAGGTAAAATTAAGCACTTGTTCATTTGTGCTCCCTAGCATGGTCTCTATGAGAAAAAGAAGTCCTCAAGGAAACAGCGCAAGGAACGCAAGAACAGAATGAAGAAAGTACGAGGCATCAAGAAGGCCAGTGTGGGCGCTGCTGGCAAAAAGGTATTGTGACTGATTTATATAATTGGTACCACACAAATGGTCACTGACTACATTTGTAGTTTCCTCTTGGCACTGCAGAATTTATTTTGTCTTTCCTATCTAATCCAAGACGGCAGAAAAGTAAGGGCAGGCATCATTTAATTAAATGCACCTGATTCTTGATTTTCATTGCACACCTATTCTTTTCCCAATCCTGCTAATCTTTGTTTTTCACTACTCTTACTGTTTTAATTCCTTTTGTCATCTTTCCAATCCTATCAAATTTTCTTCGGGAACTGTAGAAGGTAAATGTTGTTCATAAGTAGACTAACTATAGTGTGCAGATAATCCAGGAGTGGTAGATACTAGCTAACTCCTCCCATTACACCCTCACCCACCCATCAAAGAACCAAAGCCTTAATGCTCTTCCCTCTGAATGTACATGATGCATCCAGTATGAAATGATTTCACCCACTGGATATACTTGCCTTGTGCTTAGACCCTGTTTTGGTAACCTAATGACAGTGTGTAGTGAGATCCTACAGCCAATAAAGAAACGTACTTTGCAAATCCAGTACAACTTGGTGAAATTAGAGTTTGACCTAATTTCCGACGTTACTTACAAGTTAAAAATAAATGTATAAACACAGACAAGAATAAAGTGAAATCAATCTCCTGGTTTAAATTTTGCTTCAATGAAACCCTGCATACTCTTGTACCCAGTATGGCAACAAGCAATGGCCTAACATCACCTAGAATAGATCTCTTAATTACAAAAGCCAGCTGGACTGTTTGATACCATACAGTTGCATCTGTAGCTACAGTACAGCTGTTCGCCCACGTACCATGTTTTTCATTGGCTTGGTCCTAAATGTGATACATAACCCGTGCAGTTAACAGCTTCATTCAGAGGTCTTTATTCCTTTTTTTCAACATGTTGACATTGTTTTGTTCCATCTTCTCTTCTTGATTTTGCTTCACATGGATTTCTTTTGCAGAAATGAAGTGTCAGTGTGCAGGTATAGAAGCAGAAAAAGCATGGTGTGCCATTGTGTTGCACATCAAAAGCTGATAGACCATGAGCATGTCACATCCTACTTTCCCCTGCAGTTTTCCTTTTAGAGACCCCACTCCCCTTCCAAGTTGTTTCAAACTCCCTGCTTTTCCTTCTACCCCAGTGCTTAGTTTGCACCACTATCTCTGCTAAAATGGGCATATCCATTAGGCTTTGCCCACTCTGGCTTACATTTAAACAGACACAAATGCTTTGACAATGCTTCAGCTCTCTAGTTGGTAGAAGCAGAACTTGAGTGTAGCATGTGGATCTGTTTTTGTTGTTTTAAGTTTGAGTGTGAGGCATCTGAACTAAAAGCCTGCCAATGTGTGAATTTGACTGGAATTTGTTCTTACTCAAGTCATAACTTTTACATAGTCTCAGACTACAACATTGTTTCTCATCTTAAAACACTATGTTAACAGTTGTCTCAATTTGTACTCACAGAAAGTTTCTGTTGTTGTAGAAATGAAATTTCTCATTTTATCTCCCCCACAGTGATCCCGGACAGCCAGGCTTGGTCTCCATGCTCAAGATGTTCTTGTATATTGTCATCAAATAAACTTTGGAAAAAATTGAAAAAAAAAAAAAATTTAGTCCTTGGGTGTGTTATTTTGAATATCAATTTCTGATGCCTATATTTTGAGTTCAGTTTATATCTTTGTAGACTCATGACTGTAAAACAAGTCGGAAGGTGTGACGGTGTCTCTGTAAAAGTCCTAAGAGTTCCTGTTTGAGTTTACACCAGACAGTTGGCAGTCGGACAGGAGTCACTGCTCAAGGCGACTTACCTTTTTGTTGGCTGCTGAATGGCAGCTTACATGGCTTTGACATCGGTATATTGCATTTCTAAGGAACAATACAATTCCAGTACAAAGTACACAATTAGCTGTAAGTAGTTTTGTTTCATTTCATTGAAATTGCACAAACTTGAACTTTATTGATAGTGACATCAAGTGGTTTTGCAATGACATTACTTCAAAGCAGCCAAATAACTGATCGGTGTTCAGCCATTCAGTGATGTGCTATTGATTGGGCTTGATGTCAAATTTAATGACTTACTGGGATGATAAATATTTTTTTAGTCCTGAAAACGTGCTGACCACTTAATCATTATGTAATTAATAATTTGAATTCTTTAAGATTTAGTTGCAGTAACCAAAATGGCCACATGAGGACTCCCTACATTTAAGAAAATGCAAAACGAGTTGGATACACTGATGCTGTTACTAACAGTATTTACCATTAAATTATCCTGGAGGCAAACCCCACAGATAGGCCAGTCTGTGGGTGGATTTTGCCTTTTTCCTGTTTTATAAACACCATTTGGAACAGAATAGATATCCCTCTTTGCAGCATGACCTTTTAAAATGTTTTGCATAGAAATACCCTTGAGAGTGTGAAAATGAAGTGATTAAAATGCCAGGGATTGTTCTGTCCTTAAGGTAAACCCTCCCTCCCCATGTCTGTTTCCCATTGTGTTATAGAACTCAGTGTTATGCTGGCAATGCAGGAGCTCCAACCAGGTTGCTATTATGGCGTTTTGTTTTCAGAGCAGAAGAAATGTTAATTTCCCACAAGAAGCTTATGAGGAAAAATGTTAATGGAAGATGTAGTACTCTCTTAATTATTGTCTAAATAGCATGCAACAAGAAAAATACAATCTGCCATGCACTGAAAAGCTAAAAATGATAACTTGCAACCTCCAGTAACCTTCACTGTCTTGCAGGCAACACCCTCCCAAGAGGATTATCCAAAGTGCTGCAACTACTTTGTCTGACTTAATGCACCCCAGCATGTCAGGGACGGCACTCAAGCACTGTTATTCAGATATATAATTGTCTACATCCCTGCACATTTTCATGTCATACAAAGTCTTGAATGTAGGCCAGACATTTCTCCACCAGAGTCCTCAATGCCTACAACATAAAAAAAAAAACAGTAGCTTGAAGGTACTTCCATTGACACATTTTGAGTTGTGGGCTCTTCTGTCCCAGTAGAAAGGCCTATATATACCCAGCATCCCCTATGGACTTTTCTTCAATCAATGCCAGCCGGCCAAGATTAAACACTGACGGTTTATCAAGATAATTGGGACTCCAGCTCAACAGAAATTTGAGTTACTGTATCAAGACCCTATTGATTAAGTAGACACTTAACTGGTGTAAAGGTGAATATATTAAAAGGAAAATCCATTTTCCTGCAGAGCACAGGGACACCTATGTTAGATGGTGGCGCCCAAACAATTAAACATTATTTTTTTCCTCAACAGAATCGTAAACCCACTGTGACCCAGAAAATAACAGGCATATTAATTTATCTCAGCTATAGTTGTGAGTTAGTGCCAGCATAGAAGATGAGAGTGGGTGGGTGACTGTTGCATAGGTGTGAAGGAGAAAAAGGTGCAGGGGACAGACAAGGAAAAGACAGTGGGGCCTCTTAACGGCTTCACGGTGCTCTACTGGTGTGTGGTTGTGGGAGGTTTGACATAAGTGGAGCTTTCAACGCAGGGACTGGTAACAGATGGTGTTGGCAAATTAAGCCTCTCTCTCTCTCTCGACAGCCCTGTCGCTCCATCCCAGGAGCCTCTGCCTCTCTCTTCATCTCTCCCTGCAGCGCATTTTTTTCAGTGTCTCTCACTCATTCTTCTTGCGCCACTTTATTTTCTGGCCCCCTCCTTTGTTTCAGTTGTTGAACGGGTGAAATCAGATGCCCTCCACGCTCCTTCTTTGATAAAACAGGGATGAGACATCAGTGGGGTAGTTAGCAGGCTGATGTAATAAGTAGGCTATTATTGGGAGAGTAACGGGAAGAAGTACACTAAAAAAATGAAACAAGGGATGGTTCGGGGATGTGATGGGCGATAAGCTCAAGGGTTGAGGATGGAGATGAGAGATAACTGGTGGTTAGATGTATGACGTTGAGCTGCAGAGCAAATGCGATTCCGGCTGGTATGTTTGCAGGCACACTGCAGTAACCGCAGTCTTAGCATCAGGAGACTGCGCCAAGGGCCTCCAGGGAACCCCACACATACAACAAAACCAGATAAAGGTGATTGATCTGATCTCCTTTAGGCCAGGAAGGAGCTTTGTAAGGAGAACATTCCTCTGTCTGCTTGTACAACAAAGGTGTTTCAGTCAGGGTTATGATAGATGGTTATGAGGAACACATGTTTACGCCCTCACAACAGGTGCAGTTTTAATGGCCTGTCTCTCTCCATGCAGAGAGTTGAGTTGTGGTATTATAAGGAAAAAATGGACAGAATTCCAGATGACTCGCTGTGTTTTTGCCAGCACATCCATGCAGATATCAACGGCTGCAATAGATGTCAAAGACAATGGTCTTGTTATTTTCCATGTCACAATATTGTGTTGCAGTTCATTGATGTTTAACGATGTGGTTCTACACTTGATATTATATAGTGATTGGTTAGTCCAGTATATTTCTTTCACATTTGGTGTTCTACCAAATGCATGTTTATAATTACCAAGCTCGATAGTGTTTGTTTTGCAGCCATCAGCTCCAAACTGTATGTTTTCAATGGCACTGTGATCATTTTTGCAAGGGGCAACTTGGTGCTGTGAAGTGTGGCCGGGCATTCGAGGATGCTTTGCATCTTAATGAGGTATGTCTCTCTTGTTGGCCTCAGCAGGGGAATCATCACAGCTCATTTTGCAGTCCTGCAGTGTCCTATCAGCTTTGGCAGCCTGCACTAAGTTCACTCCATCTGCCAGTTGCTAGGTGCTGATATATAAAATGATCTGTGCCTTGGTAGCCTCTGAGCACCAGGGAAGTGATTTGCTTTTGAGGACAAACTGTGTTTCGTGAATCCTAATTATCCTCTTTGCATCACCAGCCTGACATGGTTTTGTCATTTATCCCACTCTGGAAGCGGCAGAGGGGGAAAGACCGGCGGAGACTGCTGCACAGCTTCATCTGCTCAAACAGACGGAGCTCCCATGGATATACTGTATAGTTGCTGAAATGCAACAGTGGTACTTTCCATCAATCCATTTTCACAGGTTCAGGGAGAGGTGGGAAAAAAAAGATACCTGCTGTCTTATTCTAGCACTCTAACCGATGTGGACTTGTGCAAAATCACTTCTCCGTTTCAATCATGTGAGGTGTACTGAAACCACTCTGTGGCCTTTCAGACTGCGAACATGCTGTCTGAGGCTCAGAGGACATCAGACCGGTGTAAAAGCATTTCAGCCCACCTGCCTCCCTACTACCCACCTACGTCCTCACGAATTCTGTTCATTTTTGTTGGCATGGAAGGATAATCTGTAGAGCAGGAAGAAAGGGGAGCGGGGGAATAATGAGGATGGTTGTAAAGGAGGAGAGGGAAAAAAGAGGAAGGCTGAAGGGGAAGTAAGGGAGAGGGAGAATCAGGAGGGTGCGGTAATGAGAAAGGGCAGCAGGTGTGAGTGACAGTATGATGGAATGCTCTGTGTGATAGCCATGCTGTACTCTACAGACTGGGAGGTGTGTGTGTGTAGTCATTGAGGAATCATATGTGCATGTATGTCCTTGGGTTTTAGAGGAAGGATACTTGATAGAAGCTTATCAGGTTTGTGCAAAAATATAGTTGTATGCCACGCACATAATTTTCCAGGCAATTCATCATGGTCCATCAATTTGCTAATTAAATTGAATTATACCAAAATGCTATATAATGCAGCATTAATGCCCTCCTGCCATAATATTATGCAGATTCTATATCTGTTGGTATGCTCTCTTCTTGACACTATGTTAATATTAAAGGTAATCATTGGCTCCTTATTCGCTTTCTTGCAGAGAGCTAGATGAGAAGATTGATAACACTCTCACTTCTGTACACCACTGGTAGCAGCCAGCTAACGTAGCTTAACGCAAAAACTGGAAATGGGGAAACTGCTAGTCTGGTAGCAAAATCTGCCTACCAGCACTTCTAAAACTCACAAATTAACACATATCCCTCACATACCATGTCAAGAATGAAATAACAAGCAGAGAGGTTCTGGTAGGCAGATGCTTTTCCCCTTGGACAAAGCCAGGCCAGCTGTTGGAGGCAATCCCAGCTGGCATTGGGCGAGAGGTGGGGTGTACACTGGACAGGTCGCCATTGCAGGCACAATACACAGACAAACAACCATGGCTTCAGAATGACATTTATGTGAATCCAGTTAGGATGCAAAAGAAGCATAATTTGAAAAGCAAAGAGAAATTATATCCCACAAACCCAAATGGTTTCTAACTTATCCTTATCCTAGGGACTATGACTACAAATTTATAGATTCAATTTATGAACAAAATGCTCCCTTGAGGACAAGCCTGGTCCCGTTTTCTTCAATCAATGAAACAAATTTGTGTTTGGGACTTAACGTTGCACCATGCAACTTCTAAAGTACCAATATGACTGTGGTACATGGTTTTCCAATAGCAGTCTAAAACCAAATTGTCTCAGTCTCTTGTGGCTGCACAGCAGTTTGATATAGTCTCTCTATATCATCGGAGAACGCGGTCGAATTGTAATGGACTTTATACCTACTAAGGATGAGGACAAGGTTGTGTTTGGACTGCACACAGCACTTGGCTGTCTGTATGGCTGAG